TACCTGCTGTCCTTTGTCAGTATGGATTCTCTTCTGTGGCCATTGCTTATCAGTTGTTATTAAGTGCCCTCGAGTCAATTCCACTCATAAGGTTCAGGCTATTTTTCTGGGTTTTGTTTTGATCTTGGCGGGATTAGCAGATGCAGTCCTTGTGACTGACTTTTTTCATGTAGCACAATGTTTCCAAGGTTCATCCATGTTATCACATGTGCTAGCGTTCATTTCTGTTTCTGGAGAGAGCAGGTTGTATGTATTCTTTCATTGGTTTGTGAGCACTCGGGTGTTTCACATTGTGGCTGTATTTGTGCCGTTCCCAAGAGTTCAGAAATGATCCAACAAGGTCATATCGCACACAAGTTAGTGAGGGGACTCCAAAGTAGGTGCAGCAGCGCATTGATAATTCACACTGGATTCTGAAGCGGATGTATAAGAGGGGGTGTCACTGTTGATAGCAAATGAATCTTGATTGAAAGCAAAGAATACCTGAAAGATGCTTTCTTATGTTTTCTTGACTGCAAAATCATAGTAAGTTACGGATACGTTGCCAACAGTGGGCTTTCCAGAATAGTGAATTGTGTTCATAAGGAACCTATACATGGACAAAAAGGCAGTTGTTCAGTCACAAAAAGGGGTGCTGCTTAGTGTTAGTTCAGGAAAGGCGTGTGTTGAGGTTGCATACTTTCATCCTGCTTATTCAGTCCGTATGCCAAGCAAATAATCTGAGAGGTTAGACTATGCAGAGAATGGAGCCTCAGCATTGGAGGCAGGCTCTGTAATATGCGCATGACACGACCTTGAGCTGAAAAGAAAACTTGAAGCACTTCCTGATGAAGATCAAAGACTGCAACCTTCAGTATGGATTGCACTGCATAAGTTGTTATAGATTTCATTTTACTTGGATCCATGCTCAATGCCCATGCATTCAGAAGTAAAGACATCAAATGACTCAGGACCATAGGACACCATGGTCAGTTTCTGTAACAAAGTCCACAAAACAGTGTTTAAAACCTTATTCAGTGAATAGCAACTTGGATCTTGTTGAATGTAAAACTGATGATCTGCTCTGTAAACCTTCATTCAGTTCACAATAAAAACTTAAAGGATTTAAAGGGGGAGAGTTCATGGGGAAATGGAATTATTTATTTTTAAAAAAATCAAGTGATACGTTGCATCGGGCAAATCTGCTAAAGACCTCTTTAAAACGTTCAGAAACGAAGTTGTTACTTTGAGGACTAAGATACGCCTGACCAAAGTCATGGCATTTTCAGTCAGCTCATAAGCATGTGAAAGTTAGACAATGAATAGGGAAGACCACAGAGGAATCGTTGCATTTTAATTATGGTGTTAGAGAAGAATATTGAAAATACCATGGACTTCCAGAAGAACAAACAAATCTGTCTTGGTAGAAATACAGCCAAAATGTTCCTCAGAAGCCAGGGTGGCCAGACTTCACCTCACGTACTTTGGCCAAGTTATTAGGAGGGACCAGTCCCTGATCAAAGATATACTGCTTACTGAAATTGTTGTTGCTTAAGTGCTGTCAAGCTGATTCCAACTCCTAACAACACTGTAGGGTTTCCTAGGAGCATTTCCTGCTGAGTTAGAACCATCGACCTTACAGTTCAAACCGACTTTGCGGGCAGTGCATTATCCTACAGCGCCATACTAGGACTCCGCTTGTTAAAGTTGTTGTTATGTGCCGTGGAGTCGGTTCCAACTCATAGCGACCCTGTACAGGGTTTCCCAAGGCTGTGAATCTTTACGGGAGCAGAAAGCCTCTTTCTCCCACGGAACAGCTGGTATTTTCCAACTGCTGACCTTAAGATTTGCAGCCCAATTTGTGACCACTACACTACCAGAGCTCCTTTTGTTAAAGTCGTTGTTGTTGTTACGTGCCGTGGAGTCGGTTCC